AGCGACGAGTCCCTCCCAACACCGCCCGCGCGGCCGCATTCTGGACTAGCTGGAGCCTCCGAGTGCTCCTCAAGGGAAGCCCCATGTAGAGAGCATTACAGTAGTCCAGGCGGGAGGTGACGAGGGCATGGGTGACTGTGCGCAAGGCGTCCCGGTCCAGAAAAGGCCGCAACTGGTAAATCAGGCGTACCTGATAAAATGCCCCCCTGGTCACGGCCGACAACTGGTCTTCCAGTGTCAGCCGTGGGTCCAGGAGGACCCCCAGGTTGTGTACCCTCTCCGAGGGAGCCAGAATTTCGCCCCCTATAGTCAGCGATGGAGTCAGCTGACTATGCCGAGGCGCCGGCAGCCACAGCCACTCGGTCTTGGAAGGGTTGAGCCTGAGTCTGTTCCTCCCCATCCAGACCCTTACGGCCTCCAGGCAACGGGCCATCACGTCAAGGGCATCACTGGGGTGGCCTGGGGTGGAAATGTACAGCTGAGTATCATCAGCGTACTGATGGAAATCCCACAACTCCCACATCCCACAACTCCCACATCCCACAACTCCCACATCCCACAACTCCCAGCTCCAGTGGTCAGCTTTTCCAGAGCCATATTTCTGTCTTGTTCTGCTCTTCAATAAACTACAACCTTCTTTCTAAAGCAGTCTCCAGCTTGGACTGGACCCTGATCAAGATTTTTCTTTCAACAATAGGTACCACTTTGGTGGGAAGGTAGCAGTGTTCTATGCACCTTTGGCACATAACCATGCTGGCCACAAGACCATGAAAATTGTTTTCAAACAATGTTGGATTCCTCAGCCAAGTAACAGAGATGAGCACTGCACCCTAGAATCGGACATGACTGACAGGGAAACCCTTTCCTTTAGAATAATTTGCTCCGTTGGCACTTCACTCTATAGCAGAATATTTAACACCTAATTACAAGTGTGATGCCCAGATTAATGTAGTAAGTGTTATTTGGAGTTCTACTGCTGCTATTTATATCTTTATGGCAAGTATGCTCTGCATCTGTGGCACTTAGATGAGTCATTCATCAATGCTCTAGGAGCTACAAAACATTTTGCAGGCAAAGGCTATTATTGTAAAGTGAAGTAACTTCATTTGAATTATAATACCATTTAGAATTGTATCAAATTTATGGTGTATACAGTTATATAAAGAATAGATAAATATATATACAAAAATCATAATCTGATTCCTCCATGCCAAGAACTATATTGATATGCTTTGTTTTTATGTTGTCAGCTTTATGTTAGCTTTCTTCGCCAGGAAATTACCGGACACTTTTAACAAAGCCAAATTTATCACCTTTAGCATTTTGATTTTTTGCAGTGTTTGGCTCTCCTTTGTTCCTAGTTATCTGACCACTGGGGGCAAACATATGGTAACTGTGGAGATCTTCTCCATTATAACATCCAGTGGTGGCCTTCTCATATGCATCTTTCCCCCTAAATGCTATATCATCATACTGAGGCCTGAACTGAATAACAAGCAGCCACTAAAACAAAGAAAAAAAATGAAAGATGTAGAATTGAATTGCCTTTTAATTTAGTCATGGAAAAGCAGTAAGGCCCCATACTTGAGACCTATAAGTCTTCCACACCAACAGTTGCAATTGCTGCCATTATATCTATAATTTTCCTTCTGATTTTGGGATTGGAAAGCTGGTTCCATTTTTAATGTCTTATGATATGTCCCACCCATATTTGTATAGATGGTTGGTATAAAATAATGCTAAATAATAAATAAATAAATCTTAAAATAGAATCAAGTCTGTGATTTCCATGCAAAGGACAAACTCTTGAATGATGAGAAATGCAATATAAGGACCTCCATTTTTGTGCTCATAGCGCATGCCGGTGCAAGAGTAAAGCTCTGCTCCCCGTGGCTGTTTTTGTCCTGCCAGGGGGACCCTAGATGGGTCCGAAGTTGCCCCGAAAAGGTGACCGTGAAGGAGGGGTGTTCCATTGATAACAAAGTGATGGAGGTTGCTTCGTTTGATCTGGGGGAAGCCCTCCAACCTGACGGGAGAAAGGCTAGCATGAGATCAGTGTCTAGCCCAAGCCCAAGAGCACAAACCTGAACATCGGTGAACAGTGTGCTTTTTATTGGTGAGAGTATTGATCTTCTTTCTTCTATCTACTAATTGAATCCTTGAAAAAGATTCCCAAAGCAAGAAAACCTCCAGAAAACAGGGGAGGGGACTATATCCCCATTCTCTTAGAAGTGGTGAATTAATATTAAGGAAGAAAGAGATATACTAAAATTCAATTTAAAATACTACAGTCTGGATAAATTTAAGAACTAAAGAACTGTCAAGGTTATTACCCTAAAGTGTTTTGATGGAATTATAAAAAATACAAAAAATAATTTTTGATTGAAAAAAAACTGAAAAAAGAAATAACTGTTGACACCTAGGGGAGAATCAGAGCATAGAACACTAACATAAGGACTCAGAAACTGGCAGAATGCTTAAAGATAAAGAATAATCTGTTCCTTTGAATTGCAAATAACCTTGAAGACATCTGGGAACAAAGGAAGAGCTAGGCCAGCTAAAAGATTAAAAAGTGTCTGAAAGAAAAAAAAAACACACCTGGACTATTGTTTAAATTTAAGAAACAAATCAGATAACAGACCACAAATTAGAAAAATATGACCACATTGATGAAACAACAAATGAAAAGAATTACAATCTAATACAAACAGGAAAAAATCTACAAGATTCTGATACAACAATAAAAATGGAATGGACTATAGAATTTTTAGGAGAACTATCAGAGTTTGGGAGACAGAAATTATACATTTTACTTACTTCATCTTTTGTATTCCCAACATTTATAAAACTACAGGAATTGCCGGGTAAGCGGAATATATCAACTTGGAACATTACTCGGCAAAAGAAGAAGACCAGAGACAGATTCAAGAGACTTGACTCACCCTACCAGATGAACTATTACATGAACAAACACTTGTTTGAATATGGTTATAAGGGGCCCTATAACAAAAGGGATAAGTGATTTAAGTAATATAGTATGTTCTACAATATATGAAATGTAAAAATAGTGGGTTGATGTAACTTTTATTAATATAAGTGAAATATAAACTGATTTAAAAGGATGTTATACCTAGATACTATAAGATAGATAATAAGTATAGGATCTCTATAATGCACGACAGAGAAACTTTGGACATTTAGATGACTAACATATGAGGAAATTATTACTGATATGAATTGGATTGCATATAAGGGAAATTAAGCTTAAACAAAAATTACAAAATAGGATGCATAGTGAATTAATGAGATGGTGTTTATAAGTATAATATAGGCTAAAAATGCCATACATAGAGATTATTATTATTTGTACAAATATTAAAAAATGTATTTATATTTAACCATTTATAAATTGAAAATATAAAGAATTTTGTTTAAAGTTGAAGAAGAAGAATATAAACGGGAGAAGGGAAGATCAAAGAAATATATTATTAATTAATATACTAATTATAGAATTATCAAACTTAATCATTATTGATTATTAATTGATTATTACTGTCTCTTTTTTCTTTTATTAAAGCATAAACAAGACAACACATTGTACACTAGGCACTGGATATTATTATAGTTAAAACCAATAAAATATGTGTATGTGTAAGAGAAATGCAATATAAGCTCATCTGCTCATTTCCTGTCCTCATTTTGATCATTAACATTCTAGAATTTAATTTTGGTCAATGCTCCTCTCACATCATCAATCCATTTCCAGAAAACTTTGAGGTTTTACATGTTTAAAGAATTATTTTTAGATTCTGAATTAAGAATGTGTCTTTTTTTTCAGGAGCAAAAAAAAGTAGGCAAGTTTCTTCATAGATTGTAAAATATCAGCAATGGAAGTCCTTTCCTTTCCTTTCCTTTCCTTTCCTTTCCTTTCCTTTCCTTTCCTTTCCTTTCCTTTCCTTTCCTTTCCTTTCCTTTCCTTTCCTTTCCTTTCCTTCTTTCCTTTCCTTTCCTTTCCTTTCTGCTCCTCCTCTCTGCCCTTTCCCTTTCCATTCCCTCCCTTACCCTTTCCTCCCCTCTCCTTCCCTTTCCTTCCTGTCTGCAATCATGAAAGAACAGAAATCACACCAATCCACAGCTACTGGATATAGAGACAATTAAGAATCTCTTAATATACTGGTCTATATTTAATGAAGGAAAACTCCTGGAGATTTCTAATGATTACTGGAGGAATTGGTAGAGTTTATAAGGAAATTAGTAGAGGGAATAAAGAAAAAAGTTATATTTTCTAAAAACAAAGCATATCGATATAGTTCTTGGCATGGAGGAATCAGATTATTTATTTATTTATTTATTTATTTATTTATTAGACTTATATGCCGCCCTTCTCCCCACAGGACTCAGGGCGGCTCACAGCATATTAAAACAGTACCAAAGCATTATCCCCAATAAAAACCAATTAAAAACAAATATTTACCGCTGTGTCATGTTAAAATAATGATTAAAATTGTCCCTATTTAAAATTCTCCCTAGGCCAGACCCGCTTGCTGAAAAAGCCATGTCTTGAGGGCACGGCGGAAAGCTAGGAGATCCGGAATCGTCCGGATCTCGGGGGGTAGTTCGTTCCAGATTATGATTCCATGGAAAGCAAAACTTGATTCTATTTTAAGATTTATTTATTTATTTATTTATTTATTTATTATTTAGCATTATTTAATACCAACCATCTATAAAAATATGGGTGGGACATATGGGACATATCATAAAACATTAAAAATGGAACCAGTGGCTCCGAAAAGGAAAATTATAGATGTAATGGCAGCAATTGCAACTGGTAGATGGGGAAGACTTATAGGTCTCGAGTATGGGGCCTTACTGCTTTTCCATGACTAAATAAAAGAAGGCAATGCAATTCTACATCTTTCATTTTTTTCTTTGTTTTAGTGGCTGCTTGTTATTCAGTTCAGGCCTCAGTATGATGATATAGCATTTAGGGAAAAAGATGCATATGAGGAGGCCACCACTGGATGTTATAATGGAGAAGATCTCCACAGTTACCATATGTTTGCCCCCGGTGGTCAGATAACTAGGAACAAAGGAAAGCCAAACACTGCAAAAAATCAACATGCTGAACGTGATAAATTTGGCTTCGTTAAAAGTGTCCGGTAATTTCCTGGCAAAGAAAGCTAACATAAAGCTGACAAGAGCAAGGAGGCCCATAAAGCCAAGGACACAGTAGAACATGATAAAGGAGCCTTCATTACATTCCAGAATAATTTCTTTTGCCATTAAGTGAACATTGAAATCAGGAAATGGAGGAAAGGTGAACAGCCAGACAGTACAAAGAATTATTTGAATGAAGGAGCAGAAAAATACAATGGAAATGCCCAATCTTTTCCCTACCCATTTCCTCACTATAGAGTTTGGTTTGGTGGCCATGAAAGCTAAAATCACAATGGTAGTTTTTGCTAGCATACATGATACAGCTACACTAAATATTATACCAAAAGTACTTTGTCGGAGGAGACAAGTCACTTTATGAGGTTTGCCAATGAACAGTAGAGCACAAAGGAATGAAAGCAGAAGGGAAATGAGAAGGATGTAGGTGAGGTTTCGGTTGTTGGCCCTGACAATGGGAGTATCCTGGTACTTAATGAAGACACCCAGAACCAACAATACAATAAAAGAAGACAAAAGAGAACAAATGGCTAAGATGGTCCCCAGTGATTCTTCATATGTTAGGAAGGTTAGCATTTTTGGAAGACATGAATTCTGATCCTTGTTTGGATACTGATCTTCTGGACATGTAAAACAGTCATCCATATCTAGGAAAAAAAACACTCAGGTTAGAAAGATGGTTGCACTGAAATTAAACACATGACACTTCTTTCATTTCCATCATTAGAGCCTTCATCGGAGAGTTAGGCTTTTGCAGAATGTGTCAAAAATATGATAATTTGTGTCAGGCCATTTGTGCCTTGAGTGAGAACTCTGGGCTAATTTGTTCACTGATTGATTAAACAAGTATTTTTCAGTCTTGAAAAACTATGATCTTTGGAGGTGTATTTTGCTTTATGGAGCCTGACATTTTATCCTTTTTCAGTTTCCGTAAAAAAAAAAAAAATATCCGAAAGGCCATCTCTTTTTTTAAAAAAGAAAAGTGATTCTGTTGTGGTGAACAGACATAGTAGTTTTATATACGTAGCTCTATATGTATTAGTTTTAACCATCAATCACTTTAGTAACTCAATTTAGAAATGTGAAATAGATCTGTGCAGAGCATAGGATTTGATTTTCCCAAGTGTCTTTGGGTGTGGAGAAAAACAAATCCATCTCCTCTCTGCATCATCTTAAAACACTCTGTTTTCCTGGGATGTCATGACAGCTTTTTTGCAGGTAGGCGTTATGTTGGTGCTCATGTGCATTCTGAAGCAGTTTTTAGAGTTTTAGTCTCTGTACCGCCAGAATCTCAAATATCTCAGCATCCCATCTTTGTCATTATGTAAGCTGCCCAAAAAAAGAGAAAATAAATCTTTTCATAATGTGAGAAATCAGTTTTGAGATCTATAGTCATAACAGATCATACCATTATACTCAGCTATCAAGTGTAAAAAAGAATGTATTCCTAGAAAGGAATATCTACAAAACGTATGCATGACTCCCATTTCAACACTCACCTATGAGATTGGAAATCTTCCCTTCAGGACAGTGAAGACAATCATAACAACAAAATGGCTTCCCTTCTATTTTGGTCTTAGCATAACCCAAAGAGCAATAGTTATTACACAGAGAGAGCGGCTGGACCTATACATAAAGAAATGAAAAAATGCTTTATTTTTTTTTCAATAATTGCTTAGTAATAGTTATTGTCCACAAAGCTTCACAATGTATCAAGTTTGGTTGGAAGTGTTGTGAGTGATTTCAATGAAAAGAGGGAAGAGGAGGAATAAGTATGGGATTTAGAGAGCAACCACTCAGACTTTTTGCCATATATTTTAAATGAAACTAAGATAAAAACCTCTTTGAGTTAAGCTCATCCTCTGCTTATATAAGAATATGTCCATGTAGGCTTTTTTGGTACCCAAATGGAGGTTGCTTTTCTCTGTCTTTGTTGGCGCTGAGAACCAGTCACAAGCATGTCTTGAGCAGAAGCTGGCTACCTCTGTCGTGTTTATTACTTTTATATGCCTTGTTACATGCACAAGCTGCTTTAATCATTCAATGCTTGACAATCGTTTATTCATTGTACAATTCTTTCATCTAACCAACTATTTTCCAGTTATATATTATATGGTCAACAACTAGATAAGGATCAAAGAAGAAGGAACTAACAAAGACAGGAAGATAGAAGAAGGAACTAAGCCTGTTATCTATTTCAGTATGTGAGGAATTAAGTCAGAGGGGTGTTGTGACTTTTTGGCTGCTTTACTGGAGCAAAGGGCATAGGAGTAAGGGGTATAGAATTAAGAGATTTGTGGGGGTGCAGAATACGGCAGTGTGCTGCACGCATGCTACCCCTACATGTCTTCTTTGTGGAAGTTTTTTAAGGCTTCTGTGTGGTCCTTAGTGTTCTCTGAGCTTGGTGGTTTTCTCACATATGTTTCATGACCAAGCTACATAACATCATCAGGTTTTGTAACTTCTTGCAGCTTTAGAATTCTGGTAACTAAGTACTAAGCCAAACTTAGATTGTTTCTCCATGAACAATCTGTTACATGCTGACCTTTTCTGAGATGTAAAGGAATATATGATTGCATTGATGATATGGATTATGTACTTTAAAAGTCATCAGAGAAAAGCAGGTAGGTGTAAAAAGAATTTAGCTATCCTGATTTTTGGATGTATATAGGTTATAACTTATGGCATCGGTGCAAGTATCTGAGGAGTCCTCTTGCCACAATGGGATTAGTCCACCCAATTTGCTCCAGCAGAAAGGGCCTGCTATGGATCTTGTCTGTGAAAGAATTCCAGTTGGTGGGATCAAGGAGAAAAGCTTTTTCTACTGTGACCCTTGAACTGGGGAACAGTCTCCTCCAGAGATAAAAGGCACTCTTACCTTCTTGACCTTCTGGAAGGGCATTAAAACATGTTTTTTTTCCAGTTGGCTTGGAGCCCTGAAGGGGGCAATCTTCAATGGAGGTGATTAACAGGAAGAAGAAGAAGAGGAGGAGGAGGAGGTTGAGGAGGAGGAGGAAACCACCTCACCTCATTGCCATCTTGGTTTTAGTTTTATATATTCTTTCTTAATTGTATTTTTTTTTGTATATTTATCTTTCTACTGTTGGTAAGCTGCCCAGTCACCATAGCATTTAGATGGGCAGAATAAAAGAAAGAAAGAAAGAAAGAAAGAAAGAAAGAAAGAAAGAAAGAAAGGAAAAAGGAAAAGGAAAAAGGAAAGAAGGAAGGAAGGAAGGAAGGAAGGAAGGAAGGAAGGAAGGAAGGAAGGAAGGAAGGAAGGAAGGTTCATGTGGTCATGCTATTAAGTCACTTCTGACTTTATTTAACCTGAAGGGAATATTTCCAACTAAACTTCCCTTCCTATACCATTAGTTTCCCTGGACCATCTCTTAGTACTTCAGGCAGAAGACAGAAAAATCACTAGAAGTATTCCACAGCTCATATTTATTCAATTAAAAATAAGTAACATTATCCAAACATGAATTTTGGCCCTACCTGGTTAAACCTGCTTGGCCAAATGATGGCTTCTTCATGGATCACTAATATGTCCTCTT